TCACTACTGGACATCACTGCCAAGTCTCTCTCAAATCTTTTGTTTTCTTATTTTTGCTACCATACCTTATTACTTTCTATTGGTTGAGTCTTCTACTGCTTTTGCTTAGATCAGCCAGACCTATGTGGCTTCTTAAGATATTTCTTAGAAAAAGTCTCTCTTGACGATTAATTTTTAATATTCTCAATTCTTTTCTACATTGGACACATTATGTCAAAAGTTAGGACTGAGGAGTAAAGAGAGACCTGACCCAGAAGTCAGGAAACCTTGAATCTTGCTATCTCTTAAGATTTGGCAAAATGCTCCCTCCAAAAGCCACTGTAAAATTATTGTGAGTGAATTAGAAAAGAGTAAGCCTTAGAACCATTCTTAAGACAAAACACTTCCTAGAAATAATGATAAGTTTTAAAATGAATAAAAGTAGAACTTGGTATGGGGCCTCTGAGAAGCAGAGTTTAAAAACCACAAGCCTAGATCATTTCAAGCCTGTGGTTCTATGTAAATGTATTAACCTGCATTGTTTTACATGTAAATGATGTGATCTTTGGTACTTTCAAATCTGTCTAATAAGGAATAGCACTGGGTATTATCTATATCTAATAAAATTATCTTTGTTGACATAGCATTTTATAGGGGTATTTATAGAGGCAGTGGGCACTGTGGGTACCAGCATCATGGACTTTGAAGACAAAACTGAATTCAAATTCTGTCACCTCTGCAAACTAGCAGTGTGACTTGGACAAGCTACCTAATCTCTCTAAGCCCCAGTTTCCTCATCTGTACATGGGGATGAGAATGCTTGCCAGACTGGCTGTTGTATGGATGACATGGGACACTGTACACAGAGCATTCAGCACAGCACCTGGCATACATTCCCTATAAAAATTAACTGCAGATAATTTCACTTTTATTGTTTCATTTAATCTTCACAATACAAGTGTTCCTACTATTCTTTTTTTAAAAAAAATCCTCACCCAAGGATATTTTTTCCATTGATCTTTTAGAGACAGTAAAAGAGAGGAAAAGACAGAGAGAAGCACTGATATGAGAGAAACACATTGATTGGTTGCCTCCTGCATGAACCCTGACCAGGGCCGGGGCTGGGGAGGAGCCTGAAACAAAGGTACATGCCTTTGACCAGAATCAAACCCAGGAACCTTTGGTCCACAGGCTGACGTTCTATCCACTGAGCCAAACAGGCTAGGGCCATATCATTCTTGTTTACAGAAAATGTTAAGACTCAACAGAGTGAAAAGACTTGCCCAAATTCACCCAGTGAGGGTAGAACCAGTGTTCTACATTGTTGGACACTACCCCACTCAGAGTTTCAGTGAGAGAAGGAACTAAGAATAATAAACTCAGGGAGAAAAAATGAAATGGAACGATCCAGGTGGGAGCCACAGGAGCAAAACCTGATGACCACACAGGGATGACGACCACAAGGTCGGGGTGGAGAGGAGGATTCCAGAGATAAATTTCACGAACTTACAAGAGTGTATGAGACTGACTGAGACACTGTCTAAGGAAAAGGGCAGAAGCCAGGATGTCACAGTGACCTCTCTCCACACACAAATCCCCAGTCCGTGGCAGGGGTGGGGCTTCTCCTCTGCCCAGCTCAGGCTTCTGCACATAGCAGGTGCTCACTAAACATTGCTAAGTGGCCTGAGTAATAAGGCTTCTCTTTTTATCTCCCCACCCACACCCACCATAATTTGGAAGACTTTCCTTGCTCTTAAAATTCTGAGGAATAAAGGATACTGTTTCTTCCTTCCTCAAAACAAAAGGACGATTCCTTCCTGACAATCCAATTTTGTATAAAGTAATTGATTAATCCTGACAATTACTCCATTAACTGTACTTTAAACAGCAGCTCCCACCTCCTTTCCCCCTTTCTCCTCCTTCTCCAGACACTGAAGTCATGATGTCTAATTTAGTTCATCATCATAATTTCTACCCACAGCAAGCTGATATCATTGCAAGCAAGCACAGCCCAGACTAGTCTGAGACAAAGAGGCAGAGACCCAAGAAAGAAAATCAAGGCCCATATTCATGCCCCCTCCATCCCTGCCCAGTCACTTGCCTATTGTCCTATGGAGCCTGCTCTTTTACAAGAATATCTGTGGTTCAGAAGTACATTGCAGAGATACAGACAGAAATTCCTTATTTCATATATATATGTACATATATATATATCTACATATATATCTACTATATACTCTATATATATTTATTATACTCAATATATGTATCAAGAGGAAATGCAGGTATTGGTCTTGTTCCCTCTAATCAATTTATGTATTTGAGTTGTTTCCATTTTAGAGAAAATTACAAAAATAAAAGACCAGAAGGGTTAAAATATCACAGAACGTTCTGTCCTCATTACTTGTGTGAAGTCCCCACTGCATCACAGGGACAGCATGTTAAATCAATAGAGACTTGAGCTGTTAATTTCCAAAAAGGAAGAGATGATTGAACTAAAATAGCCCATGTCGAGTCTCTGCCCACTGGGAATGGAAGTCCCTTTATTTTCAGGTCTTTCTACAATTAGGTAAGTTCCAGGAAGATTATGAGCCACTTTACAAAAATTTCTGATTTTTTTTGGGGGGGTGGGGATGGGTGGGGAGGGAAAACTTTGCTGACACAAAAGCTTTAGCTTTTTACAGCACTAATTTTACAATAAGGTGATAAGAGGTGTAATCAGTGTATATGTAGGTGTATGTAGGTGAAGTGTGATGAGGTGGGGTGGGGCTGGGGAGATGGGGTCACATCAAGGTCAGTAACAGGTAAGCCTCTTGCCTGTTTTTAATTTCATCTTCTCCTTCCCTGGGCTATGCCTCTGCATTGAAAGTAGAGGGGAGGTGATACCACTTTCATATTTTACTGATCAGGGGCCATCTTTTTCTAATTTCTTTCCAAGCAGAGGCTTGCATTACACAGGCTCATGATCAATGACTTTTGATCTGGTTTGCATGATCAAATATTTGAAGGGTCTAGTGAGGACCAGCCTGATAAAATAAAGGCCAGCTTTTACTTGAAGACATTTCCTGATACCACTCCTTGATGGGTCTATTCCTGTGAACTCTAATAGGTGTCATCAGCCTGATTACCTTTTACATATACAGATTGTGGAAATTTGCAGAGTAGAGAAGTAGACTTTTTTTTTTCCAAATAAATATCAGCTGATTCTAATTTTTTAATAAGAGCCCCCCCCCCTTTTTCCCCTCATTCTTATTTATGACTTCTTCAAACTAAGTCTGTTACAGCTGGTTGGGGATTCCTTTTTTTTTTTAAATCTAAAATAAATTCCTTTCATTCTTAGAATGGCCATGAGCTCTAAGCTGCCATCTCTGAGCTATTTCCCACGAGAAGAGAGCAGCAGTTCTCCATTGGCTTTCCCCTCTGTGGTTGCAGTGGATATGAAGGGAAAGGTGTTCCTCCACCTCATCACTTCCCAAAGGGAGCTCCCTCCTCTCAAGAAGTAGCTGGTCTCCTCTGGCAAGGGGTGAGAGGCAGGCTGAATTTTGAGATCAGGAAGGGTGTCTATAGCTCCTTTCTTTCAACCCTTGTCTTTCCGTGTTCCCTGTCATTTCGTCTGTGGATGGGCCAGCCCTAGTGCTAAGCTAGTTCTCACCAAAGTAGGTAAGAGAGTAGCAGCCACCCCCACCCACCACCATCCATTCCCTCAGTTATACATGGGGAACAGTCTAGGGGCCTACATGCAAACTTAATCCACACCTCCTCCCTCTTCTGGGTGGGCTGCCTTCATGCTAGACTGGTGATTCTCAGTCTTCCCTGCACCAGAATTCTCTGAAGAGCTTTTAAAATGCCCAGTCCCGAATCTACTTTAGAGCACTTGAAACCAAAACTCTGGAGGTGGAGACCAGGCAAGTATGTTTTCAAAGCTCCAGAGGGAGAGGTGACAATGTGCTTCCTATTGTCCAATGCCAGTTTAAGGCACTTGGCAAGTCAGCCCCTTTGAGCCAGCCTTTAGTAATGGCCCTGCATGCAGTCTTACTGAGACCACCCACATTCACTTTCCGTCTTTCTTGTCTCACTCTGCATTGGTCCAGGGTGCTGCCTTGCTCCTGTCCACTTAGCACAGTGGTTCTCAACCTTCCTAATGCCGCGACCCTTTAATCCAGTTCCTCATGTTGTGGTGACCCCCAATTTCATTGTTACAAATTGAACATAATTAAAGCATAGTGATTCATCACAAAAACAATATGTAATTATATATGTGTTTTCCAATGGTCTTAGGCGACCCCTGTGAAAGGGTCAGTCAACCCCCAAAGGGGTCGTGACCCACAGGTTGAGAACCGCTGGTTAGCATTTCCTCTCTAGACTGAATCTGGTTTTAACTCCATTCAACTCTGTCATCTCTCTGCCAAGATGGCAGAGGCCACAGTGACCCACGTAAGCTTCTCTCAGAATTGACCACAAGCCTATAAGCCTATTTGGAGCTTCTCTTCCTGTACTCCCTTCATCCAACATTTATTAAGCATCTAACAGGAGTGAGAAATGTCCAGCCCGCAGACTGCATAAGGCCCACGAAATTATTTGGTCTAGGGGTGAGTTAATTAAATGTTTGAGCAAATATAGCAGCTAATTTTAAGTGGATAATTTTGAATGGCCCCCAAATGATGTTATAAATATTCAAATGGCCCTTGGCAGAAAAGGGGTTCCCCACCTCTGAATGTGTCCAGTTCAATGCCAAGTGCTTTGTATTATTACCACGTTCAATCCTTACGACAACTTATGAGGAAATATCATTTACAGCTAATGAGATAGAGATCCTGAGATAATGAAGACCTTGTTCATGTGTCATATTCCAGGTCTGGTTTTCAAACACAGGTCTGGCAGACTCCAAAACCCATGATCTCCGCATCGCCACACTGCTCCCAGTGGAAAAGACCTGGTTTCTGCCAGGACGTATTCATAGTCTCGTCAGGAAGACACACACAGGAAACAAGCACGAGGGCCAGAGGGAGAATCTGGCTATGGGAGCAGGTAAGAGGGGCATCCACCCAGAGAAGAGTCCTAGAGAAGATGATACCTTGACTTGAACCCCAAAAGATGAGTAAAAGTTATTCACATGAAGAACCCTATATACACAGATGTGGCATCCAGAGAAATCTAGGCTTCCTCAGGGACCTTAAGAAGTTCAATATGGCTGGAGAAGGATGTGGAAGAAGAAGAGGTGGACAGGTAGGCAGGGCAGGTGAGCCTTTAAGCTGGTGAGTTCTGCATTTTATCCTGGGGGCAGTGAAGACTTTAAGTAGAAGAGAGATAAAAATCAAAGTTGCATTTAGGGGGAAGTGTTGGCAAAGGACATGCATGACTAGAGGCAAGGAGAACAGTTAAAAGGTTATAGCACAAATTCTGGTGAAATTGTGATGGTGACCAGGACTAAGATATTGCCAGTGAAGCAGGAGGGAACAAAATTAGGAGCTATTTAGAAGGAAGATATGATTGGATTTTATGAACGACTAAATATGGTGAGTGAGAACAAGGAAGAATCAAGAATGAATCCTTCCCTTGAAATAAAGAACATAGGAAGAAAAGCAGGTTGGGGGAAGCTGTGAGTTTCTTTGAACATGTTATGTTAAGATTTAAAGTAGGAAATCACCAAGGTGGTCATTGACTCCAAAGATGTAATAAGGTACCCTGATAGAGTGGGCAGAATGAGGAGAGCTGCATCAGCAATGACCACTAGAAGGGAGCCCTCCTTCCCTCCAGAATTTGAGTATTATTCTAATCCTTGGACTGCTTATTCGGGCCCTGAAACGCTTGCCTGCTTGCCAGTATCTTTCCCTGAAGGAAAGCGAACTCTTCTTTATGCCCTCATCCATTTGCCGGTAACTCCGCGAATGTTCAGCTCTTCCAGAACCACATCTCTGCTGGATCCAATGCCTGCATGCTTGCTGCTGCCCGGAATCTCTCCCTACCTTACACCACCAACCAAACAGGACACTCTAGGACCGTCATTTGCCCAGGCTTTCTTTTCCCTTTGGGCACTGTATCTTGAATCGATCAAGCTCTGTTGTGGGCCAGCCTCTAGAATCCGGTTAGTTCCTTCTGGCCCAAGTCCTATACCCTAAGTGGGCAGGACCCTCCCTGTTTACTCTCCTTCCCTTTTGGCCCAGGGCTGTGCCCTGGTCCAGCATGCCTCACTTCACAGCCCATGGAACGGCAAAGCAGGCCCCGAAGATGCTAAAGCTGAGGCTGAAGCTGATGAAGGTGGAGGTACAGGTTTCTTGGTCTATCCAGCTGCCTGGAGCAGGGGAAGAGGAAACACAGCAGAGGCTAGCTCAATGGAAAAGTAGAACACCAGAATTTGCTCCTGAGGGAGACTGGCTGTAGAATACCTTAAATTAGAAGTCTCAAAAAAAAAAAAAATGTGTTAGGGATCCCTGTTGCCTTGGCTGGCTCCGGGTGTGGTTCTTTCCAAGGGAGAACGATTGGTGGAGTTTTTCCAGACCTATAATTCTACTTGTGATGAGGTAGAATTAAAGCTGAAATGTGAGTTCATAAATTGCCTAGTTGGTGCATAAGATTTTAAATCTCCTCCAAAAAGTTAAATACAAAATCATATTAAACTCATATCCATCTGCCTACAATGATCTAATTTCCAAATTGAGTACAATTAATTTTTAATCCTAGGTCAGCTTTCCCACCGCCACCTGTCTCTCTCGTCACAACCTCCCCCATCAGATAGTGTGTGCTCAGAGAATTCGAGATCATTTTAAATATTAACTGGAGCCATACCTACCTAGAAAGATGAATCCACACACACGCCTTCTCTTCTTCCGCCTATCATTACTAGTATAGTTGCTCATATATTTCTAAATGTAGTCCTGGTTAAAAATAAATTCTGTAAACTAGGAATGTGGGATGTGCCTGCCTCCACAAAAATTCCTTTGTTCTCTGTGTAGAAGTGAACAGAGATGCAGAAGTACAAAGCCAAGCCTGCCTTTAAGAAAAAGATACTACACCAGTTCTTAGCATCTGTGTATGTCTTCCTATTAGATGCAGGGGTCACTGAATTTGGAGGAGAGATCTGGGAGCTTCCAGGTTTTATAGCATAGACTTACTTCCACAACTGCTCAGTTTTGGATGGGCAGAAATTCCATAAGAAAGGGCACAGGAATAGACAGGCATGGCCGACTAAGGTCGGTTTTCACCAGGAAGCTGACATGATGAAGCATCCTCCAAGAGCAGGGTGACCAGGGCTGAATCAGCTAAGTCAGGAAACTGCTGTCAGCATCTTGAGAGGCCAGGGTACTCCTGGAGAGAAGCTCTTCAGATGGAGATCCTCTGCTGAGTGAGGCCTTTTGTCTGGATGAATTGAACCATGCATATTTTTAATGAGCTTCTGTTCTCCTTAACATTGGAGTTCTCATCTTCTATGACAGACCCGCTCACCCTTGGGGACAGGAATACCAGCACAGATCCTTGAAGAAAGGAAAAGTAACTGGGCAGTAAGTCCTGGGGATATATGATAGATCATGCTCAATGAAAGTAGAAACCAAAGAGGGTTGCTACTTGTTTGATGCTATTCAAAACAAACCCTGGGTTGTTCATATCCCAGGATTACTTGCAGTAGGCAACTCAAAGGTCCTGAGCCTGAAGGGCAGCTAACAACAATATAAAGCTAAAAAGGAGAAAACTGATCCTAGAGGCAGCCATCTGTGAACGTCGCCCACCAATAGTTTCTAGAAGCTACCAAATTTGTGTTCACATGTGCTGGAACCAGTACTGTTCCTGAGACCTTCTGAAGAATCCAATGTTAGCTGCTTAATAAGTGATCTAAAATGTGTGACTAGAGAAACTGTAGTGTTGAGGGTTTAAGTCTTTATTTTTACATGGCCCCTAGCAAGTGGCACTGGAAGGTTAGCTGAACTTAGAATCTTTAATGGAGACAAAAACTTCTGACTGAAGAATGACCCATTTGGGGAAGATAAAGCTGATGATAGGAAATAGGCTGGGCCTAGACATTAGACTATCTTTTCAGTGAGTCACAAGTGAGAGGGCATTCAGGGGCTGAAAACGCGGCCTCTAAAAAAGAAATTAGATCACAAGGACAATACTTTTAACCACAAATACTGCAAAGGAAAAAACTTAGTCAGTAGTGAAAAAACAAGGCAATGATTAACATCAGGGAAAACAAAAGTAACTTTCTTTGCATGTGTATAATGATGTAAACACCAAATATTAATTTAACTAAAAATTATATCATTATGTAGGAAGGATTAGAGAGTTAAAACAAAGGGATAGCTTAAAAGAGTGCTAAATCTTCACTTACCATAAAAGGATGATAATACATCTAAAGTGCTGAACCCAAAGAGAACAGCACATGTATATTACTTAATATATGGCAATGTGAAAATGCCAGAATGAGAAGACTAAGGGGAGTAGGAAGGAATGAGGAAGGAAACTGTTGAATTTCATTAGACTTTTAATGCTATTTGACTTTTTAAATTATGGGCATGTGTTCATTGAAACAATTTCTAAGTGATCTTTCTCCAGAAGGACAAGACAGAACAGAACATCCTAAGAGTGTGTTGAAAAGGCCAATTAACGTTAAGCTCCAAATGCATTATATAACATAGGAGATTTAGGAAGCAAGAGGAAGGCCTAAGGCTCCTTTAGTTGATTTAGGCACAGTTTGATAACAGTTAAGTTTAATATCAAGAGTACTTAATTTGTACCTAGGTCTTGCATGATTTTAAACCTTGTTAATGCTTATATAATATTTACAATAGAATTGATTAAAACTTTCTTTTTTAAAAAGTAGTTTGGGAACAGAAATATACTGAGTGGATCATGCTCTATACACTATTTTTTTAATTGAACTTACAGGAAGAATGGCTGAGCAGTGGACCTATGCATCCATAAACATCATTGTTATTTATCACGTGCCAGCTACCTAAAGAGCAAGGTAATGACTAGGAGGAATTAATCATCTTCCATAAGATTTGAGACTATGATTGCCATGAATTTAATCCATTTCTTTCTTCCTAGCTCTCTTTCAGAAATGCTAAATATAAAGGAGTTTGCCCAAATTTTTCTTTTGATGGCAGGTGACACTGTTTAAGTAAACATGTTGTCACATTGAATGGATGACTAATGTGGAATGGACCTTTATTTGCCCTTTATCAGAGGATTCCTTAATCTCAGTGCTGTTAACATTTGGGGTCAGATAATTCTTTGGTGTAGGGGTCTAAACTGTGCATTGCAGGATGTTTCAAAGTATGCCTGTCCTCACACACTAGATACCAATAGCATCCATCCTCTCCAGTTGTGACAACCAAAAAATGTCTTTAGTAGTTCATCAAAGATTTAGGTTTAGTCTATATTATTAACTGCAGCAAAGAACATCCAAACAGTGATTAAAATTTATTATACCACTCTTCATCTGATAACTGAGACATGTTAAGTGAGAAGGTTCTCCCTAAAGTATAATTAGACTATGTAAATTACTTCAGTATTTTTAAATCTGGAATAAAATTGAAAATGAAAAGAATCCCATCATGACATCCTAACACACTGGTTAAATCTTTCTCCAGGCAGGGGAACTTGCTCCCAAAACCTTTATAATCTCTGCCTCAACTGAGCTTGCTTTAGCTTTCAAGAAACCTGGGGTAGAACCCATAGGGGTTTGAGCAGGCAATGGCACTCCAGTGAAGATTCTTGGCCAAAGTGAGTACGACTGGGTCTGGGACATAAATAGCTGCTTCATCATCAAAGCCTCCTGCCCAAGAGAAGGCTTTCATGAGAACTCAGGCTCATTGTGTGAAAATTCAGATGACTGAACTATAATTAGCCCGATTAGTCAACATTTTAATTCATAGGATTCTGGCTTTGATGTGTTCCTTTCTCACAGAATCAAAGCTAATAATTCTGGAAACATAATTGGGAGCTGAGTGCCAGCTTGAAGCTTGGGGAGCTCCCTCACCTCTTTGGCAAACTCTGCTTCCAAGACAGCCGTTTCCTGGTCATGAATGAACCTGGCCCAGGCACCTCCACCTTGCCCTTTAGCTCCTTGCTTCCCAGGACATTTCCTGAGCACCTTTTCTCTGTGAGTCAAGATCACTAGCATTAGGTTCTAAATTTAGTGGTTGACAGTAAACTGTGATGTCAGTATCTCTAAAGCCTGAGCCCATACACTATAGGTGCTCAATAAACCTTTTTTTTTAATGTTGCTAAACAAACAATGGAGCAGATCATTGACTGGTTGCTTATCCAAGAACCATCCTTCCTATTTCAGGAATAAAAACCCGATTTAAACAACCAATTGTCGTGATTGTCTTCTTGATCAAACATAAGCACATGAGGTCATTCCGGCCAATGAAATATGATAAGTCAACTGGGAGGATTCTCAGAAAGATTTTCTTGCTTAAAAAGGCATACATACCAAGAGACAGTCCTCTTCTGCTATTGGATGTGGTTGTATTTCCATGTGACACCTAGGACTTTGCCATCTTGAACCAGGAGGAAGACTATCTGAGGACAAAGAAGATAAGCTAAAGATGCATCAGAGAGATAGAAGAATGTTCAGCCTCTCTGCCATTATTAAGCTGAAGCGACTTCTGGATTTCTTAAGTAGATGATACATCTTCCTTATTATTAACCTATTCTCAGTTGCATTTCCTGCGGCTTATAGTTGAAAACATCTTAATTGATCTAAGTGATTCACCAGATTTTTTTTTTTTTACACAGGAAGGGATTTATGTGAAAGACAAGCCTACTGGGAACTTTATTATAACCACTACTACTTACTGAACATGGACCACACACATGCTCCAGAACTGTATGAACACTGACTCTAAATCGCACAAAAACTCCATGAGATGATGTTTATTATCTGCATTTTATTTATTTATTTTTTTAAATATATTTTATTGACTTTTTACAGAGAGGAAGGGAGAGGGACAGAGAGCCAGAAACATCAATGAGAGAGAAGTATCAATCAGCTGCCTCCTGCACACCCCCCACCGGGGATGTGCCCACAACCAAGGCACATGCCCTTGACCAGAATCGAACCTGGGACCCCCCAGTCCCCAGGCCGACGCTCTATCCACTGAGCCAAACCGGTCAGGGCTATTATCTGCATTTTAGAAGTAAGGCAACGGAGGCTTTGAGAGCATAACTAAACTTATGCAAATCACCCAGTTACTATACAGGGCAACTCAGATTCAAACCCAGATATGGCCTGACTCTGTTTTTCTCTGCATTCTACTTCTCATTAGCTTTTCCAAAGACACATTGGAAGAGATGAGGATAAACACACACAGGAAGGCTACGTTATCTTATAACTTATCTCTGTGTTATAAGATAGAAGGAAGAAAGGAATGGACATCATATCTCCTGAAACTGCCTAAATGGGTAATGAAACCACTGTCCTCAAAACATTCCTTACCATGCATATAAGCCTAACCAAATGGACACGGACACCAGGGGGGTGAGGGCACGAGTTGGGGAGTGGCGGGGCAATGGGAGGATAAGAACACATGTAATACCTTAATCAATAAAGAAAAAAAAACACACCTAAAATGCCACCTTTGTCATATAGCAAGATTTCTTTTTCTTTTTTACTTAATCCCAGTTATTTACTTATCTATTTTTGTGTCAATAAAATATTGTTTTGATGATAGTAAAACAACAACAACAACAATCCTTGGAGCTCCAGTGGCGCAATCGGTTAGCGCGCGGTACTTATACAACAATCCTCTCCGACATTTTGACATCGGGCCTCCAAATTACCTGCAAACCTGGTCATGGCACTTATAATTTGTAAAGACCATTACTGGCTTCTTTCAAGCATATCTCACGTAGGAACATCCTGTCTCTCATATTCATGACATAGTCCCTGAAGACAGAATTAAAAAGATTTTAAAATCCTAAACAGAAAAATATGTTTCCTGTGCCCCAAACACTCCCCCCTTCCTACCCCAACACACGAAAACAGAGTGCCCAATAAAGACAAAGAAGAATACCAAGTGGTGCTAAGCTCTTGGGACTAAGCTCTGGTCCCAAGTCTGATCCTGGTTTGTTCAAGAGAAGACTGATTCTGGAAAAGGCTTAGAAAGTGCTACAGACTGAGTTTTATTTTCTGGGGATCCTGCAGGACATGAGTGGAGAAGGGTAGGGGTTTCTTCTACAAAATTCCCTAATGGACCACTGTGCCTCCTTATAAGACCTTGACCGAGAAAATTAATAAACCCTATATCCTCCCCCTTCCATTTTCTTCCCTTGTAAAACAGGAATAATGAAGGTTAGTTGACGACAAAAATCCTAGATGAATGTCAGCACCTGACTGCTGTGAGCTCCCAGGCTTGCCGGAGACAGACTAGAGATCATCCCTGTACCATCCCAGTTTCTCCTTGGCTATCCCACCCTTCACCAACTCCCATCAGCCTCATGAATCTAACGGTCATCAAAGTCGGAAATTTCTTCACATTTCCTGAGCCACTGTAAAGAACTGATAAATGAACTAATCTCTGCACACCACACATCCCAATAGCTCACATGTAGCTGGCTTGCTGGCATGGCATGCTGACAGACCTGGTGAGGTAGGAGGAGATCCAGGCTTCCTGGGTCCAGGAGATCCATGGAAGCCTAGGCAAGAAGATACATCAACATGAAGAGTGTCACCCCACTGGGCCAAATGCAGCTAAGAGGCCAAGAATGTGACCATTAGATGAAGCAATGTGGAGCTTATTGGACCATGAGAAGAGCAGTTTGAGATTGAAATGCTAATGGACTGTGTTAAGGAAAGAACAGGAGGGAAAAAGAAGTGTCTACAGACAACTCTAAAGAAACTTTGCTTTAAATGAGATAAAAGAAATGGAAGAGAATGTGCAATCAAAAAAAGTTTAAAATAAGAGATATTAGGGCATCTTTTATAGGCTGATGAAAATATCCATTCAAGAGGAAGAAATTGAGAATGCAGGAGAGAGAAGTGATATTTACAGAAGGGAATCCTCTAGGAAGGTAAGAAGTGGGGATACTTTATTCTCTCAGTGTGAGATTTTTCTGGTAACTTATTTCCTCTACTCTTCTGATGGACATATGTTCCATGTGCCCTCACGTGGTAGTCTAATCCAGGACAGAGTCATGCTAAGAGCTTCTCTTAGTGTTGCATACTGGTTCTAGGATCCAAGCTGTGGCAATCTTCTTCCAGTTTGCTTCCTGATTTCCCAGTGTACTATCCCCAAGATCTTTTCAAAGGTCAAAAAATTAATGTCTGAGCTCCCTCAATAATATAACTCTTAATATGGGCCAGACATTGCATTTATTGTCCCACTTACTGTTATTATCTCACCTTATAGATGGGGACCCAGAGGCAATGAAATGTTAAATGACCTGCCAGAGGTCATATATCTGGTAAGTGGAGGAACCGGGACTTGAACCCAGTCAGTGTGGCTCTGGAAGCTCATCTCTTTAATCTCCCCCATATTCTGTTTCCTCCCTTTGGCTCTTCTTCCAGAAGGCCTAGGATCCTTTAAACCTATAAAACTACTTGTGGCTTGTCTTGACCCTACACACACACACACACACACACACACACGGCCTGTCCTGAAGCCCTTCTAATGAGTAGTCATCTCAATTCACCTGCGACTGGTCCTGTACCTATAAGAAATGCTTCTCATACAGGGAGGGAGGCCTTTGAGTTGCTGCTTTCCTATTTATATCTGGTCAGAGCTGGGCAGGAAACAGATGGCACACTCAAATTGAGTAATTTGAGGAGAGTTGAATAAAGGGACTATTTACAAAGGTGTGGGCAGGATGTAGGAAAGCCACAGAAGTAGTGTAATAAGTAACAGCTACTTGACCACCCCTAGGCTTAAATGGGTAGGAAAGGTGTGAACACCGGGCCCTATAGAGTGAGTCCTGTGTGGTTTACCACCTGACAAGAGCTGTGACCATGAGTCAAGAGTTGGAGCCAGATCGGAGGTGCCCTCTTTTCACTCCCCGCCCTCCCAGGTCTCCCTCACACTTTCCTTCCCTCTGATCTCCTGCCCAGGGCTTCCACTTGCTAAACCCAACCAAAAACCAAAGGGCAAGGGAGCCTGTTGATACAGTTTGCATGTAGTGGATAGAAAAGAGTGGAGAGTAGATCTAGAAGGGCAAATAGAAGTATCTACCATACTAACCAGGTTACTATTTAGGGTAAAGAATGGGGCTCTGGAGCCAAGTGCCAATTGCCTCTTAGTTGCCACATGACTCTGGGCAAGTTATTTAGCCTCTCTATGCATTAGTTTCCTCATCTTTAAAGTGGCCTACCTAACAAGAGCTGTGACCATAACACCAACCTCACAGAGCTGTAGTAAGTGTTAACCCTTAATTTTTTCTCATTTAGATAACACAGCACTTAGCATATAGTAGGCACTCAATAAATACTGGTTCCTTTTCTTTCTCACCTTCTTCAGGTTAATGTATAGGAACAAAGTTTTCAAATTTACATCTAGCCCTATTATATGTACTCAGTATGTATTGCTTGATTGATGATTGAAGGGACCTTTTGTTCCTTGAGGTCTCAGAATATCCTGTAAATGACCCATCCAGTCTATCCTAAGAGCCTGCAACAGTTAAACTGTGGCTTCAAAAGTTCTTGATATTGCTGACATGGTTCTAGCTCACTTCGTGGGTGGCTGCAAGGTTACTAGAGTGTTGGTCTTATAACTTATTAAATTGTACATTTGTTTTATGCTATTGTCCGCATTTGCTTAGCAATTTAAAAGTTTTAAAAAATATGTTCTAAATTTCACAAAACCATAAGAAATAAAAATATTTCATTGTTTGCTTTCCCTCCATTTGGCCTTTCCTGTGACTACAGGGATCTGAATCATCACCAGGTTCTTGACAAAAGGCATTTGAAAAGTTGATTTTACTGGTGATAAGTGGACCTAGGACCACTTATTTCTTCCTACTCATACTAGTATATTTCTTCTGAGGCTGGGTCTAATGCTTGTCCAGAATGTACACCTGAAGGCAGCTATAGGGTATGCTCTCTACTCTGGCCCTTTCTTTAAAGAACTCCATGGTTCTTGTTGACTGGCTCCAAATCCCTGCCCTTTGATGCACCCTGAACAAGAGACTTCCTCTATCAGCCTCTTAAAAGCTTGGAGTGCTGGGGCTCCTATATTCTACCAAGCACCTCTGTCATGTTGCCAGGCCTTGTCCCCAATCCACTCTTAAGTAGATGCCAAAGTGAAGGAATGCTTTTCCAAGCCATTTACCTGGCATGCTCCATTTCTATTATAACGACTCTTTCAAACCTTCTTTCATTATGTGCTTTTCAAAGGAATAAAAAACTCCCTATGACTATAAACTCTACTAGACTCAAAGTTCCACAGTGGTGGAACTGTATCTTTTCATGTTTTTATAACCTATATTGCCAGAGTCATTGACACAGATTAGAAGCTCAAGAGAAGGTTGTTGAAACGAACTGAATTGAACTTTCTACCCCTTCCTGCCTGCATGAAAAATGTCTGTTTCTTCGGGCCAGCGTGATCACTTCAGTGGGACTCACACCACTTGAAGGAGAGGGACTTTGCCTTCTCTGGGAGTTGGTTTTTAACTGGCAGCTCCAGCAGGAGTGTGTAAAAGGATGAAATGGGAGGTGGACAGGGAGGAACCGGCACTTAAGAAACTTGGAGTCTCATTTATTTTTAACATTATTCACAGATGACTTTCTATCTTTCTTCTCCTTAGCATGGATGCTTCTACCCTCTTCTTGTAAATGAGTGCATAGCTGAGGAATTGTATTTGTTTATCTTGCTTCTTGAACAGCCACAGATACACTCCCAGTCCCTTTCACCCCTTGCCTGCCAAAGCTGGCCTAGTGCTTTTGATGTTTTTACTTTTGCAAAAATGACAAAGGGCCTGGAGATGAGAGAGTTCGAGCTAGGAAATTCAGCTCCTCTATGCCTCACCTTTCCTCATTAGTAGCTGAGAGTGGGAGTAATAAATAAGGAGTAAGAAAGAAGTGGAGCTTGCTGTTGGGACGAAAAGTTCCAGCCTTTGAAACGTGTGATTTATGGCGATGAGACATTCAGATCCAATTCCTGGGTGAGGGCATCTGAGACAGGGGCCTCAACATGTTTCCCTACCATAAATCAGGACACAGATTGACCTAATCAGCTGTTTTCCTTATTCCTCCAAGTTCCAAAGTGCAAATGCTCTCCTGCTGAGTAGTTATTTTAGAAGAGGGAAGGGGAAGTAAAAAGCCAGGCTCCCTACGGCCCTCAGGGGCGCTGGCGATGCTTCCCAGACACCATTGTAATATCTAGGATCTCCTCGTTCCCTAGTTAACGCCACCCTCGTGCGGGCTCCGAATCTAAAGTGACCTGAAACAAGCTCAGGGCACAGACCAACGCGTAGCTTTCCCATCTCCCAAAGATGAGATTCCAAAGGTTTGTAAATAAATACTCCCCGCAGCAGAATTTCATTGTCAAGAAGGACAGCATGTTTGTCCCGACGCCCACAGGAGGGCCTTTTGCCAAAACGAATGGGAAATCAGTGGCCCCATTAACATCCTGTGATCTTAGATCTAAAAATGACCCGGACTGGGTAAACAAGGTGACGTAAGCGGCTGGGCAGGGAGTGGCTCTCTACTGCCACCTGGAGGAGAGCGTCCGCAATGGCGCAGAGGCTCCGGGCTGCGAGAAAGCGGGCCTTGGCCGGCTGGAACCAACTGGAGAAAACGGGTGCGAGCTGGGAAGACGCCCGGAGGGTGGGGGAATACACAGGAGGTTAAATGGAGAGGAGAGAAAACTCCTCTGCGACCTCTGCTAGAGGAAAACGAGGTCTGTGTTATCCAGGCCACTGGGCGCTGTGGCATGAACCCTGCTGGCTTCCTCCTGGGAACACTGCTTTTATAAAAGGACTCAGGCACCATTAACTCTCGCTAGAAAAAAATATAGCTAAAGCTGCGTGGGGACAAGATCGCAACGCTGTAGGCCCTTGATAAAAACAACTCTCAGTTTCTGAAAGGAAAAAAAAAAAAAAGGCGAGGCATGGATATGCTAATAACGGGCCACCAGATTTTTTGTTGTACTTTGGGCTTCTCTGTGACTTAGTGGGGGAGGGAGTGCAGGAGTGTAACAACAGTCCTAATTTACTTTCTTGTCAGACTAATGTGAGAATGAGGCTACAAAGCCTTCTGCATTACGCAACCCCCATGCCGCGAGCTGCCCCAGAAATGTGCTGGGGGCTAGATCAACGGGGTGTTATTACTTTCCCTCCTGTAGATGATCCACAAAAGAAAAACAAAGAGCTGATTTTTAACTTGTTAAAAGCAAAACAAAACCCACTTTATTTGGGGGTTAGTCAGCTCTTGCTGTGTTGCAAACCACCTCTAAATCTCTGTAGCTGGGGACAATAAACATTTCTTTTTCTTGCTAATGGAGCTGCAGGTCAGCCTTGCTCTGATCTTAGTTGGGCTCAGCTGGGTTGGCTGAGCTAATCTGGACTCCAAGCTTAGGGTCAAATACAGGTCTGCTCTGTGGTTCCATTTCTGGACCGAGATGAAAGGACACAGTGACTACCTGAGGCATACTCTTCTGGCAGAGGGTGGAGCCGTTCAAGAGGCCAAGTCAAAACAGGCGAGCATAGTTGAAGCTTCTGCTTGTGTCATATCAGCTAATATTCCATTGGCTGAGCCAAGTCCAACATCAATGGGGGGTGGAGGGCAGGGAGTGGGATATACCTTGCTTACTCTAGTTGATCCAGAGGGTCATTGTCTGCTCACAGGAATATTTGCTTCCTGTGGGAGAATTGCAAAGTGAAGATGGTCTAGATCAGCGGTCGCCAACCTTTCGGACCTCACAGACCACCAGTTGGCAACCACTGGTCTAGATAAGCCTTATGTATATTGGTGGTCGCCAACATGCATTTAGTATTGCATAATAGACACTTTTAATTCATTTCTCTTTCTAGTTTTACCCTCCACTTATGAGATTATGTGTTCAGGGACACACTACCTTGGATCATGGCAGGTCTGCCTTATGGACATTCTACTTGTCTCATGACAGGATTTTTCCAAAACTCCCTGTACCAGAAGGGTGGACATTACTTATGCAGGTATCACCTTTGGAATGAAAACAACAGGCAGAGAGTCTTCAAGAAGGCAGCATGGTATGTTGAGAAGAGCACTAGATTTGATAATCAAGAAACCTGGGTATCTAGTCCTGATTTGCCAGTTTTGGAATCTGGAAGGGTTGGCAGAGACCAACAACCCGTTGCCTTTAAAGCCTTGTTTAGTAGCTGGACTTTATCCTGTGCACTGGGGCATGACAGGATCAGATCAGAGTTTTTGAATAAGCTTTTTGGCAACAGTGTGGAGGGTGGATTGAAGGAGAAACATTGGATTGGAGGCAAGGAGGTGGTTAGGGTATATAGTCCAGGTGAAAGGTAATGGGGACACAGACCAGGAATGAAGCACTGGAGATGGAAAAAGGGATGAATAAAGAGCCTTTAGAAGCAGACCTGACAGGAAGGACTTAAAGACAATCAAATATGAGAGGAAAGAAAAAGAGGAGTCAAACATGAATCGAGCATTCAGAGGGCATCGCACAAATATTTGTAAATATTATTTCTCAAACTCCTGGTTGCAACTGCATAAATGTATGTGTATGCATGGGTTGGCAAGCATTGTAAAATGAATTTCTTTCCAGGGCTGATGCCCACCTCCAAATTATACAAAATGGGCTATATCAGTGTTTTCCAAACTTCAGTCATTTGTATACCTCAGTCACAATTTTCGTCATATTCAAATAACACCTGCATTCCTTTGTTCTTTAAATGAAGTCATTTTTTTTTTTACCCTAAACACTTACTGCAGGCTCATCCTAAAACAAAATCATATATGTGAAATCATGACGTTTATGTGCTAGTTATTTGTCTATACATATTGAAACAAATATGTATCTGTACAAGGGTTGGCAAAAGTAGCTTCACAGTTATTCATAGAGAAAATAATATAATTAATAAATAATATAATAAACTGTTTCTCATACTCAGAACTGTAAGCCTAATTTTGCCCACCCCTGAATATTACCAATAGTGGTAGTAGTAGTAGTAGTAGTAGTAGTATTACTTCCCATGCCCTCAGCTATGTGCAGGCCAGATTTACGAAACCCCTGACCAAGATGATACTAAAGCCACTAGGATAATACAGATTTTGCTTTCTATGCCCTCCTCTTGGTTTCCATTCGGATTGTATCAGTGTCCAGCCCTGGATGGCAGGTCTGGTCATTGGCAAGGCCTTGCCCTGCAGGCAGTGACCTTGAGCAGAGCTGGGTTTGAGGTTTTCTTCCAAACAAATGGGGGCTGACCTGGAATGTCTTTTTAACTCAGTGTCTCACATCTGAAAGCCACTGAAAGAGCAGACAAGCCAGATGAGCTGGGCCCCTTGCTTTCTGCAGCCAAGGATGCAAATGGGCCTTGGGGTCTCCCTCTGCATCTCCAGGTTCTTCCTGATGCCTGCCCAGGGGCCACATACACAGGTCTGAATGTGGAGGGTTGCAACTCAACCTTTTGTTCACATTTGATGTATAAAGATCTCTACAGACCGTTTCAAGGTAAAGTTAAATTAATTCTGCATTAATGGGCTGGATGACAGGAGGCATGTCACTAAAGCTCTCTGACCCTCATTTCCCTGGATAAAATGGGGGGCTAGGCTGGTGACCATGAAAGGGTCTCACTCTAACATCTTACTGTGCTCAACAATTTGGGGACAGTTGTGTTTCTTCTTTGAATTCTTTATTCAAGTCCTTGCCCTTTTTCACTCTTATAGTATTGTTTGTCCTTATTTGCAAAACTTATTATCATTGTATGCAAATGTTTTATGAATATTGTGTCTTATCCTTTGTCATTAATTGCAAATATTTTTCCTCAGTATGTTTCAATGGTTATCTCTGTGAGAATAAGGAGACACCTTCCCCCTCCACCCGACTAACTGACAATCTTTTCCTCAAGGTATCTGCTTAAAAAGAACTTCTTTATTCCTAGATTATAAAAATATGCAATCAGTTTATCTTCTGGGAATTTAATGAATTTATTATTTTATTTTATAATTTTAGACCTTTTAAGATGTATTTTATATAAGGAGTGATATATTTATTTTCTTTTGTCTTTATTTTCTTTTACAAATAGGCACCCCATTTATTGAACAATCTATCCTTTTCACATAGATTTGAAATATATTATCTTTAGGAATTTTTTAAAAATCATGTTATCCTCCTATGTAATAAAAGGCTAATATGCAAATAGACCGAACAGCGGAACGGGAACAACCGAACAACCGAACAATCGGTTGCTATGAGCGGGGCTGACCACCAGGGAGCGTTGGCCATGGCAGGATGGTGGAGCAGGTGAGCGGGGGCGCCAGACCAAGGTGGGGCGCCAGTCGCTGTCATTGGGGCGAGCCTCTGGTGGTTACTGAAAATTCTTTGCTCCCATGTGCTGCAGTCCTGCCCAGCACTCACACCTGCTGCCAGCACCAGCCCCACCTGCATCCGCAGCCAGCACTGGAGCCACCACTCACACCCGCTGCCAGTGCCTGGCGCCAGTCCCGATCACTTGGCGCCATCAGCAGGTAGAAGCGGTGGCTGCCAGCCCTGATCACCCTTAAGGGCTTCTCCACCTCCCTCTGCTCCTGAGGGGTGATCAGGGCAGCAGCTGCTGCTCACACCCACTGACGGCACCGGCCCCGCTTGCACTCACTGCTGGCACCAGCCCCAATCACTCCGCGCTGTCAGCGGGTATGAGTGAGGCCGGTGCCATCAGTGCATGGGAGTGGCAGCAGCGGGAGTGGGGCTGCCAGCAGACAAGAGGTTGAGGGTCATGGTGGGAGGGGCTGGGCGGGGTCACGGAGGATGGGCCAAGACCCGCCCCTGTGCCTACTGCAGCCTTGTGGCCCACAGTTCATTTCAAGGTGGACGAATTCGTGCACTGGGCCCCTAGTCTATATATATAAAGGCCTAAGCGACCAGTCGACCATTCAACTGGTCGCTATGATGCACCATGACCACCAGGGGGCAGACGCACAACATAGGAGCTGCCGTGGCATGTACAGAGAAATGGCACCACAGACCTGGCGCCCACAAAGCAACACTCAGCTTCCCCCAAGTGGGACACAGGCACGACCATTCAACTGGTCGCTATTATTCACACTGACCACCAGGGGGCAGACGCTCAATGTAGGAGCTGCCCCCTGGTGGTCAGTGTGCTCCCACTGCTGGAGCACCGCTCAGCTGACCAACGGGCGCCAGACGCTGAGCTCACAGCTGGTGAGCACAGCTGTGGCAGCGCAAGCCTCTCCTGCAGACACTCCTCCTAGGCACCCCTCCCCCATCTGAACCAGGACCAAAATCAGGATCGGGACCGGCATTGGGACTGACTGGGTGGGAGCCCGCGGCCGCTTCTCAGTCATGGGCGCACCGGTATCACCCTAGGATGGGTGCGCGGAGACTGCCACAGAACAGTGGCAGCAGTAGGCGCAGCGGGGCCAGGATGAGTGGGAGCAGCGCTGTGCCCGGCTTGGGCGTCTTCCCAGCCACCTTCCACTTTGCGCACTACTACATCCCTTGGGGGATATTGGATGTCGGTTTCAGCCCGATCCCCGCAGGCCACACCTAAGGACCCCACCAGTGCCCGAACCTGTGCACCGGGCCTCTAGTTTACTTATAACAGTAAAAGCTATTGTCAGTTCTATTATGGCATATTTTAACTGTTGTACTAATGGAATTGTTATTTTTATTTATTTTTATTTTAAAACCATAGCAACAATATTTACTTCCAACCTCACTACCACCACTTTAATGCATTTAAAAGTTTACCATAAATGGTCATTATCATGACTGTCAACATATAAAGCTGTCAGAAGAAGACTTTCCTTTTCTATCATTGTAATTAGTAGAGTTAATCATAGCAATTAGTGAAGAACTCAGTTTGTATGATTTGGGGGAAAGTAGGGCTAGGACCTAGGGAGATTATTTCCTGTGCAAAACTAGAAAGTTAGAGATAATTTTCCCTCTGGGTGCCCCCTCCCTACTCCAAGTATCCACTGTTCTCTTCTCTCTTCCTCACTTCATCTCTTAGAATCCACTGTCAAGTCTTCATTCACACTGAGGTGTTGATGATTGGTTACTGCCCAACACAGCTATTTTCCTTAGAGTGTGAGGTATGTGGAAATTAAGTTGTTACTAATAATAGAGTACTAAAGTTTGAAATACTTTACTTTTTAATAAGTCCGAGTTGATTCAATATTTCCCCGAAATAAATTCACCTGGTCTAGCTTACTTCTTTTGTGGGAGAAGAAAAATGTGTGCTGGTAATTATCTGTGACCTCTTTGTCACAACCCATGGGGATATAATGATGTGCCATTAATAGCCGAGGCCACTTCACATGGCCCTGGGAGGGAGGTGAGCTTAAATGTCTGCTTTCATTACTTTTTTAATGTTGTCCAAGGATAATTTTTAATAACTTCACCAAATCGATATTGCAAGTGAGTAAGAATGATGCTGAAAACATATGTGTTAGTGAAACTACAAATATTATGATTATTTAATAAAAGATAAAGTGATAACACAAATGAAATGTACACTACTATTATTCACAATGGGTACTCAAAAAATATTAATTAAATTAATGAGTGAATTAATATTTAAAACATCAAAAAACGGTTTGTTGATGCTTTGCTGAAATATTTACTCACTTTCAATAAAATCTGTGGTGTAAGAAACAATAGTTTCAAAAATGTTTTTCAAAAGATTTAATATTCTTTTAAAACTTGTCCTATCCTATATAATAAAAGTCTACTATGCAAATTGTTCAACCGGGAGTTTGACGAGGAGTTTGACTGCTCACTATGATGTGCGCTGACCACCAGGGGGCGGCGCAGAACATGGTGGGCATCGGTGACCAGTGGCGGTGCCTGGGGGTGGAGCCGCCGCCCAGGTCCCAGGTACTGAGGGAGCCGGGCGGGGCGGGCCCAATCAATCACCCTGCAGGCAAGATGGTGGAGTAGGTGAGGGGTGGGTGCCAGGCCACGGCGGGGTGCCAAGCGGGTCTGTGGGGCTGCGAGG